CCCCAAAACCCCAAAACCCCAAAACCCCAAAACCCCTTAATATTTAGATGAATTGAACAATAATATAGATAAATAATTTATTCAAAATATTATCTAAAAGGGAAACTGAGTACTTTAGTCTTACCCGAAGCTCAGTGTTTCTAAATTCTCCTTTAAAGTTCAAATCATTCTTCTATAACATTTAGCTTAAACCTATTTCTATCTTTTCAGTCCTTCTTGCAAGACCAAAGCTATCCAGCTTAATTCTTACAGCCTTCTCTATTCCACTCAAACTTAATATTTTCAAAGAATCTAAAAACCCAAAATAATTCTAAAAATTCATCTAGTCACTTTAAATGCATAAAAAACTTCCCATTTACTCTAAATATGTACTTGAAGACCCATTGCAGGAATTATGAATAGTATAATATCGCTAAATCCCAAATATTCAGGCTATTTACATCAAATCACTTACAAGACTACTATCTCATCGGTTTAATATTTCCTGCAGATTTAGTGCGAAATTCACTAAGATTCCTTCACAAGAACTAGCTGATAAACTCACTCCAGATATTGACCATAATCAGAATCTGACAATTAGTGTCCTGTGTAGCTAATTTTAGGGAATAAAATGGATACCAATAGGGCTAGCACCTGGTCCATAATTTATGGAAATATTAAAATAAGAAAATAACAACCCATTTGCTTAAAATTAAGACTTATAGGTAGGATTTTTACAGCAATTAGTACAAGAGTTATCCCCTCACTGCCTCCTTTAGCTTCTCGCGAACATTTTGGATGCGAATTCTTTTCAATATCAAGGAGTCAGATAGCCTCTTGATTTCAGGTTTGAAAGAAGCAGCGCGCATGTCTTTCTTCATATCTGTTTTTCTTATTATTCCTTTAATATCAATATTAGGCTGGGACATATTTAGCTTGAGTTTGTAATTCTCCTCTATTGTATTAAGAGCGTCTGCTACATTTTCTTTGAGTTCTAAAGGAAATTTAAACTATAAGACATACCGACGTTTAGGTCAAGATCTTTGTTTCATTCCTTCTTTTCCTCCCTACCGTCAACCGAAAAGTTCTTCTCTTTCCTTGTACTCTTCTTTTTGACCTTCTTGATCTTCCTGACTTTGAGTCTAGGTGGCCTCATTGAAAGATCCTTTTTGATAAGATGAGGGTTATTTACGATCATTTGAGGAGCTTTCTATAATCTTGGCAATACTCTTAATGCTATTATGAATAATTTTGCTAATCTTTTCCTCCTCTATTGGCCTGTTATTGGCATATTGGTTGATGACTATGTTAACAGTGTTAACGTTAGGCATCATCAACTCGCTGTGTCGCTGTTCTCTACGTCCACTCATCACGGGGTGCTGAATATTTTGGTAACCTGGCATCCCTGTACTTTCATATTTATAAACTCGCTGATGGTGGGTATTGCTCTTCGTCATCCTATGCATATTCTTTGAGGATTTTTGAGCCTGTCCTCTCTGAAGCTCTGGCTCTTCTGGTTTCTGCTTTCACATGGAGAAAAAACCTAATGCTTTAGAGCAACTGCAATTTGCTGGATTGTTTTCATCTTGATCACTCATGTTTATTTATTACTAAAGTAGTTTTATAAAATAGTAGCTTTATAAAATAGGGGTTTTGGGGTTTTGGGGTTTTGGGGTTTTGGGG